AGTTATAAATAATGTGTTTTGCAATATATTTCCTTTTTGTTTCAGATATGGTCTTGGCTCTGGTTGTGGGTGTGAACGACACGGTGACCTCGGCAGCGCAGGAGGATTCCAGTTCTGTGGTTGCTGCTGTGCCAGTGCTGGAGCTCTGCAAAGCAGGACAGGTTCTTACCAACCCGTGGCAGAATTCACTACATCATTAATCATGGATTAATCACATCAATTGCACAAGTAAAGTGTCACCAAACACAAGAACGATGAATAACAAGTGCCCTTTTCTAAACTGGCACCTCCTGGGCAGGATGGATATACCTAGGCACACGCTCAACTCAACATGGGCAGTGCCAACCCACAGGGGCACAATGCTGCACAGTCCCAGGGAAAGAAGGCCTGGATGTTTCTATAGGACCTTCCTTCTGAACAGCTGCAGCATCACACATTGTGCTGTGGCCTTGAATGTGCTGCGTAAACTTCAGCAATTCAAGATCAGACTGTATCTTAATGCCTTTTATTTTTCAGAGGATCTTCCTTCTAAATAAAAATGTATATGAAGATAACGGACTATGCTTATATTAGAGACAACATTTGAAATCAATTCTGTAGTTTCAGCGTGAACAAAATCTTTTGTTCTCTTGTGGGAAAGAAACTGAGAATTCTTTCATTATTTTTAATAATATGATTAAAAAATCATAAATCATATTATTAAAGCAGACTTTCTATTCTGCTCAGGGAAAAGAGAATATATATATATGTATATGAGGTGTGCTTCTACCACTGCTAAAGGATTTCACTGTCCAAAATCRTTCATTGTTGGGTGCAGATTTTATAGAATCTGATGTATTATTTCAGAAGTACTAAGCAGATATAATGTGGTCACATAATGGAACTTGTCTTTCAGGAAAGTTCTCAAAGATATTTTACAGGTCACTGTTATGAAGCGCTCACTTGGAGCTGATTGATTGTGGATAACTGCATTTTTAACAAACATACTTCAGTGCTGCTTGGAAACCCAAAGAAAATGTGATTCTTTACAAGGCAAGATTATGAAATTGCAGTATACTCAGTAACAGTGATATTTAGAATGATATAAAAATACCATTTGTAATCATTCAGTGTATAGTGAGGCCTATCTATCCTATCTATCCCTAATTGAATTTATATACAACCATTTAAAAGATAAATATCCAAACACTGATTAATTTCTAATCAGATGATTCATCTRTGTACATTAACAAACTGCACTGTATGGCTGTGTTTAAAACATATATTGTTTCTATAGTCGTGCAAGCTCTGATACTCCACTTAGATTTTTTTTGTTTTTATTTTATTTTTTAATGTTCCTTATGACAGAAACACCGAGAGAAAATCTTTGGTTTGTCCCACCTAATGCATGGATTACTAGGAGGCGGGTAAATAYATTTATTCGTATTTATATATACATACATACTTCTATAAAGCTCATCTATTCCAGATGCCACAAAGGCAGAAATTTTACCATCCAAGCTTTTCAAATAATACTCAGCCTTTCGATTTCATCCTAGGTTCAGCTGGTTTATGGGCGCCACTTTATATACACAGAGACATGTCACTCACAGGCAGAAATTAATTTTAYAGCTGAGAAAAGTGAAGCTCGTAGATTCATTGCTAGAGTAGGACCCAGCTTGGGTATAACGGCGGGCAGTTCTCTTCATTCTGTGGTGYATTTCTAAACATCCTACTGCAGCATGAAAGGTAGCCTCATGGCTTAATTACATTCATTTGAATGTGATGGCAGCACCRCTACTGCTGATGTTAGACAATGATGCTAATTTTCAGTGATATAAAAATATTTGGTCTGGTTTGTATTACAGAAGTGGTTCCCAGTTGCTGTGCAGCTCTAGAACTATTTGAATTGTATTCTGGTAAGGAAACTATGCACCTGGCTGTGAGTGTTTTCAAAGTTTCATGTGAAATTTCACTTCTTTCAGAATCTTACAGCATCTGATTTCTCTTCAGAGTCCATTTTACACAGGCAATAATCTGTTATCCCTCACAAGCAGCGAGCAGGAAAAACATTGTAAAATTTTTCATATGAACACTTCTCTTCAATGTTGGCATTATTAAACATCATCAATCAAAATGAGCATTTTTATTAATAACAATGTTTGACAGCATTGGAATTGTACTGAAATAATGTCTCTCAAGAAAAGGGATAAGAGTTTAGGGGTATCTTTGACGTTGTGACTTTGCCACTGCCGTTCAGTGCCTTGGTGGTCATCTCCTTTTCTAGTATCAGTCGATCAGTGTCACACTGCCACGAAACAGGCTGCCCAGAGAGGCTGCRGAGTCTCCTGCTCTGGAGATCTTCCAAACCTGCCTGGATGCCACCTTGTGCCCCAGGTGTCCCTGCTGGAGCAGCAGGGAGTTGGACTAGATGATCTCTCGAGGTTCCTTCCAACCTCAACCATTCTGTGATCATCTGCTTGTCCCAGTGATGGAAACGTTCCTATTTGAACGCTGTTGTGGTCGCTATTAGTTTTGTGTGTCAGAATAAGGTGGAAGAGTTCAGCTGATGCACTGCTGTTTGGAGTATGTAAGAGACATTGAAGATGTTTGAGGGCACAGTAGCTGCATTTTGGTGGTGACAGGAAACTCATAGGAGGTTTTTTTTTTTCGCCCCCCTCTTTAGCTTGCATTGGTTCTTTCAAAGATCGGGACAGATGGAGTGGATTTTCACATAAGGTTATGTTTTTACGTAAGTATGCTAAAATCTCAATTATGAAGCTAAACAAGTGCTTTTTAAAGCATTTAAATAAAATCCTGAGTATAAATACTGAAATGCAGTGTCAGAGGCAAGCATGAATGCATTAATATGTCATTCTGCAATTGGAGCTGACGGAGCCTATCTGAGCCTTGAAAACTAATGTGGAATCCAACCAAGAAATCTGCCAGAAGCAGTGGCAGAGGATTTAAAGCAGGTGAGGCTACAAGTGCTTTGGAAGGCTTCTGCTGGAGATTCCAAGCTGTCATCTCATTCTAAGCCCCCAGTGTATCTTTACCCCTTGCACTGATGTGACCTTTTATTCAACCTAGGCTTGGATGATTTTTGTGCTACCTTCCAGGAAAGGGATTTTTTTTTCTTCTTTTTGCAGCTCTTTCTCTTATTCTCAGAAGAGGATTAAATCCTCCCTCTGACCAAGCACACAGGCACGCTGAAGCGAAGCCACTTTACACTCCTGGCCAAACATAGAACAAAAATACCCAAAATAAGCAAAAGCAGATGGCTTCAGGGGCAGGAAATGAATGAGCCAGACTGCAGGTAAAATGGTTCTCTGAACACATCTCAGAAGTTTGTCATGACAGGTTCTTTGTTATCCGGGGCCTCCCCACAGGAGGCCAGATGTCTTATGTTGTGAAAGGAGATAGATAGGGATGCTCTTCCTTTTCCTCCCCCTTTAACTTATGGCTGTTTAAGTTACTGCTAATGGAAGTAGAAGCCTGTTTTTCCCCTTGCTCTCTGATGTTTTTGGAAACAGAAGAGATAGTTACTGAGGGGGTATTATGATATGAAAGAAAAGGCCCAGAACTGGCCTTTACCTCCCCATGACCCTCGTTGTAAAGAACAGGGAGGTCAGTGCTGCTAATTGCACTTGAAAGGATTAACCACTTGATTGCTTTCATTTGGCACAACAGCACTATTCTTTGGTCTAAAAGCTGGAAAATGTACCAGAGGTACCGAGACATTTTTAGTGTGAGGTGGATAACTTGGTTGGTTCAGCTGATGCCAGTATTTAAATTAAATGGTGCATTTAAATCTCTTAATGGAGGGGAGAATGGAAGATGGGGAGAGAAGAGGGAATTACATCTGTGGTCAGAGAGGACAGGCCTGCAGCTGGAGTGACAACAGCCTCCTTCCTGCCCCCTGGAAAGGTTATCACATGAGTATCAACAGGCCGTAATTAATTACGGACATTAGATGTGCCTGTATCACTTAGTGGAAGAATTACTCTCGCCTTTAAACGAAGTAACACTGGAAGAAAAAATAAAGTGAAAAAATAAGCCCAGTTTTTGGACAGACAGTGTTCCAGATTTAAGCTTTTTTTCTGTACATTGATTTCATCCAAGATTTAAAATTAATTTACTTTCAGAATTAACTTCTAATTCTTATTGTTCAAATAAAGTGAGGTACGCAAAACTTCAATTTGGAAAACTTTTTTAAACTTATGAAACTATTTTTTGAAAGTAACAAAGACCAGCTTATATAAGCTTTTATCTGACCTCTACTTCTTAAATAAAAAAACATGTTTTCAGGGAAATGTGTCTTGGAAGTAACTCCCCCTCCCCCCCGATTTTTCTTTCTGGTTCTTGTAAAACATTAGGTCAGTGGGTTCATTTTATTTTTGTTTGTTTAAAGTGGGTGAAAGTTTCCTTCTCAAGCTATTACACTGCTGTGATTTTTAGAAAATATTAAAGCAATCTTTGTTTTAAAAAATAGAACAGATGGAAATGTCAAAAGACTATCAAAATTTATACCAGAGGAAATAGTGCTAATCATKGTAAAAAAGCGAAAATAACATCTCAATAGCAATAAGGACCAAATGTGTAAGAAATGTGCTGTTCTGATAGCACTGAGACATGACTGCTGATTTTTCTCCCTGGCACATCAACTTGTAGCTTATTTAACAGCTGTGCCATTATATGTGGATATTTTCTCCTACTGATTTCAAGCCTGTTACTTCTAGTATTGTCGTAGTTCACCTGCACTTCATCTGCATCCATGTAACTTGGTATTGCTTTCCGCAAATGGCAGCACGGGTGTGTTTTGGTTGTCTAAAGAAATGCAACTTCTATATGTGTTCACTTGTGAAGATGAGCACAAACGCTGGAGGTAAGTATGACTTGCAGAAAAYTTTACCTGTAGTTTGTATATAAAGCAAAATTTATTTTGATGTATTCAATAACTTGATGCATTTAAAAAAATACAAATTAACTGTTGGAGATTATGTATGTATAAGTAAAATATTAAGAAGAAAAATAATTTCTTAAAGTGGTTTTTAAGGCACTGTTTGTGTGCTCATCCAGGTGTGAGGGTGCCCTCCTGGACAGTTCTTTACAGGTAATAATGTAACCGAATTAATTGAGAAAAATATACAGTATATAATATAATAACYATATAAGACTTAAGAGTTTTTGTTTAAAAATAGTCTATTATAACTTAWCAGCTTGTGTCACTTCTACTAGATTTATGTTTTTTCATTCTGTAACACACTTCTGAAAAGATGTAAAAATATTTTCAGACAACCCCAACGATGCAATTAGTCCTTGTAGCTGCCTAATACGCAAGTATGTGACATTTACAGAATTTTGTTGTCTATGATATGCCACATGAGAGAGGTTAGTGCCGCTAAAAATAATCACAATATATAACAATAACAAAAAGAAAGGTGTAAGRAACTTCATTTCTTTGGGAAGGAATCTAAAATCATTCAAGAAGTTGAGGATAATCTTAATACAAGTATATGTGAATGGTACTTTACAGAAATCCTGCACTGTGCAATGCTGTTTAAACAGAGAGCTTGTTCCTATTCCTAGGACAATTTTTCAGAACTAACGGAGTGTATTATTTGTATATCACTCAATTAATGTGGTCTCTCTTTTTATCTTCTTTTTACCCTAATTAATGCCATCCTAATGATTCAGTAAGTTTTTGATATTGTAAAAGAAAAGCCAGTTTGACCGCATTACAACACAAATAAGTAATCTGAGCTTTTTTCTTCTTTTCTTTTATAGAAAAGGAATCAATTATTTTTTAGTTAGAGAGATTACCCTATATGGGATGASAACCAAGTTTTTCAGTCCCCACGTCAGCTCATCCTTTCACTGTGCCTCACAGATTAGGACTGTAAATTCAAACACTGCATATTTAGCAAAGCAAAGCTGGTTTAAAATTCATTTTTCAGGTTTTACTCATCTGAGTAGTTCCACAGCCTTATGTGTGCAACACATAAGGTCTTCGGTTTTCACTTGGAGCAATATTGTAAGGATTATTGAGAATACAATCTGTTTCCAGATTGCGAATAGATAAAAATTAGTCACATTTGTGTAGTTTATCATTACAAAAGAAACAAAATATCATGTTACTCACCTATGGATTGTCACCTTGATTTATTCTTTGCAACACTTAGCATTTTTGATCAATGTGTACATAAATGAAAAGAAAAAAAGCATATTATCATATTGTCCTTTGTAGTTCTCTTTCAAAATCTCCTGATGATAATCCACAAGAAAATAATAAATTGCTTCTATTGTGGAAAGGTAAGTGTCTGGTTTTCCCTTCTGATGACGCCAAAAGCAAGTTTTTCTTGTTTTCAACTCAATTTGTAGCAGCCCTGTCAAGAAGAAAAAAAAAAAAATTGACTCAGACTACATCATGCAGATTGGATAGGGCACCAAACAAGTCTTTCATTCTGTTTTGTTTTTGGCTTTGCTGCTAGACTGCATGAAAACCCATTTCTCTATCTCCATATTTTGTGTGTGTGTGTGTGTGTGTGTGTGTATAAAATCTGTTTTCCATCTGTAAAATGAGGTTAAAATTCTCCTTTATAGATCATACTGAAATTTGATGGAAGATAGTGTACGAGCTAGGTTAAATCCCCACACTTACATTTTAAAGTGGGTACAGTACCTGTTCATCCAAACAGCTTCACTTGACTGTTTGAGCTGCAGGGTGGATGCAGGGTCTGTCTGACCACACGGCACGAGTGAAATGCATACCTATTACTGATCTGGGTTCACAAAGTGATGAACAAAGGCCATCTTTGGCAGTGTTAATACTTTTGAGTGTAAAACAAAGTCCTTCCGACTGCCATGGCTTTCCTGAATTCTCATATTTCTTTTGCTAAGAGCTAGACACTTATTTTATGCTTGTTAAATAACTGTAATAATTGCACTTGGATTACCCAGGAGCTAGAATGACACATTCTGACTATGCATAGGCATAAAGGTACCATATTCTTGCAGACTGAATGCAATAACAGAAACTATGAAGAAAAAAAAAAAAAAAAGAAAAAAGAAAATTAGAAGAGAATCTATAAGCTGATATAAGATATTTGGCTAATACAAAATAGGTTGATTTTAGAGGAAAAAAGCCCAAAAGAAATCTGTTTAACAACCATGCTGATGTTGTCAATATGTTTCACCACTCATGTAAGAAAGCAGTCGTTAATTCTAAATATAACTGTTTCCTTTCTGATCTAGTGATTGTTTCACTTCTAATGAAGTAATCAATCCTAAACATTGCCAGCTTTCAAATATTTCCTGTCTTTAATGCATCTGATTTGGTTTTGCYTTCTAAAGATATATGACACCACTTTTCTAAGAAGATGCCTAAGTATTTTGTTTTGTCCAAGTTTTTCTAGATTGCCTGTTTTTAAGATTGATAGACTCAATTGCTTTCTCTTGCAGTGCAATTAGCTAGATTTACTCCATATATCAATCCAGGCTTACAAAACACAGGCTTTATTTTTACATTTTCTTGGCTTCATTAATGGTTTCCATGCAGTATTTCTCGTAACTTCATCTTTTTGAATAAGCACTGCAGTAACTTCTTACTTGGAATTGCAAACCTTCATTTTTGAACTCTAATATCTCAGGAATATTAACTGGGGTGATGACTTTATTTGTAGAACTGAAAAATCGCAGCACTTCTCTAGTTTTCATGTACATATGACATGCACACTGCTGCAGTTTACTCTGATAAAATTTTGTTCCCATCCATTTTGAAAGACAAAATTGCTTTCTTTAAAAGGAACACGAATGYACCTTGTAAAGAGGCAGTAAAGAAAGTGATGAATGCACCAGATGCATGCACTACATCCACCCGCTGTACAGAGGTATGTGTGGAATTTTCCCTTGGGTCTGGATGATAGCCTGACTTGCATGGCACCAGTCACACCTCTTAGAGCACTTCTGAAAGGAGTGGAAGGTGCTCAGGGAAATGGAGGACTGGAATACAGTGGGGACAGACCAAGCTCTGGAAATGAGGAAGGCTCCATTGCCTCAGCATCCACACAGGCACAGTGGAAACYACCTTGTCAGAGCTACAAAGTAACTATCACTTATTTTTGGCTGATAGCCTGCCTGAGCTTCCATGCAAATCCTCAGTTCCTTGTTGCATGTTTCTGTTTGTAGTTCATCCTTTCTATAAAGGTTCTAACTGCTTTATGGTAAATTACAACACACAGTAAGTCTAATCTTTACTGTAATACTTCCATTTATTTAATAATGCCTTGTGTTTAAACTAAATATTTTGTAACAGCATTTTAATTAGGCAATAAGTTACACCAACATGTGGGACTCTTTAAAGAGCTGGCTATGCAGCAAGGGAGCGTTCATCTTCCRCACAAGAAGCCTGTGAAAGCTCTTGCTGGGGCCAGTGGAAAGCAGGCAGTACTAGGCATATAGGGTGTATGCACACACACACGCACATATAAACACAAACTTGACACTACTASCTAAATGAGCCTTTTAAAAGAATTTCAAACCCCTGTGTTAAAAAAAAAACCTAAATTATTATGTATTTTGTGCTTTTATAGAAAGAAGGTAACTTAAATGTAACCTTCTTTAATGAATCTAAGACAAAGAAATACTTTGCAGAATTGTGAATGTTGGTTTGCAAAGTTTGGAGGCTGTTGGGGGCAGGTAGTCATTCCTCTTTTGACTGGGTAATAGTGATGTCATTGAAGAGACTATGAAACAAAGAACTAGAAAAAGGAACAAGGCACTTTTTTCCAGTGCTGAGGACACAAAACATGCCCAGAAAATTCTCCTGGCCTAAGCTTACTAGTAGATGAAAAAAGTCCCAAATAGTAACCTACAAAGGAAATCTTTCTGGCCTCCTACGCGGCTCATTTAAAGGAGTACTGTTCTATGCTTTCTAACATATCARSTTCCTTTCACTGAGATCCATATGTATATACACACATTTATTTGATTTAATCATTTTTTTAACATTAAAACCTCCAACTTTTTTTTACCTTGAAGTCGTTCATCAGTTATTATTTTGTTAGTTTGATTCCAGGTACTGTCAATAAATACTATTTTCTTCAGTTTTGTGCTTTCACTCTTATTGCTTGAGATGCATTCCTTTAACTGTTTTTCTTCTTCAGGTTCTATTTTGGCTTGCTTAGGAAATGGCTCTCTGGAACAGTCGTCATCATTATCACAAACACTTTTCTTAGCATATTTTTGTAGATGGAGAGCAATATCTTTCACTGAAATGGAATTGGGCCCAGGAAAGATAAGTGCTGTCTGAATGAAAAGAACAAAGAAATCAGTGTCATCAAAATCTGATACTCTTATATAATACTAAGAATAACTTAAAGAAAAAAATTATTATCCCCACCCACAAACATTTGAGAGAGCAAATGAGGAAAGACAGCATCTTTTATTAAAAAAAAAAAGTCTAAAAGCATAGGGAGTATTAAAATAATGAGTATTAGAATATTTCATGTCTCTAGTGTTGGCTCTAGTATATCTGTAAAATAGTTATTCTTTCATTTTATATCTTGTTTTTTCCCCGGTCTCTGTGCTGACTCGGCTAGATAAATTATATTTACTGGGTTTTCTTTTTAATAGTGAACGTTACAAATTTTACATACGTTTAAATCCTGAAGGAGCTGCATACAATGAGCAGGACACTTAATGTTTAATTTGCATTAAGTTGAATACTTTCACAGGTTTGGGTAAAGTAGTCCTCAATGAATCAAAATACACACTCAAAGTAGTAGGCTKCTGGCACAGCATCTCTGAGCTTTGGCAGACAGTCCATGACCACACTTGTGATATGAGAGAGTACAGAATATGTATCAGCATTTCCCCAGCACAAAGCCCTGTTATCTACACAATATTTCTTACTTCATGCCTTTTTTCTTTGTACTCTGGAATGCAGGGATATTTATAAATTGTAACATCATCAGGTGCCAGGAGCTTAGCATGCACAGCAGTGCTTTTGCCATCAGTTTCATTTGGGTGTTTAATAATATCAATCTTCAAAGGTAACTGCAATAAGGAAGGAGACAAAAAAAGAAATAAGCAAGATTTATGATCATATCCATGACTATATATAAAACAAAAATCTATGAKAAATCCTTAGGAGTACATAATTAATAACCACTTGCTTCAGATAGTTTCACTGAAGGATTTTTGGTTTTATGGGTCAAGAATGACATTAAGAGTGTAAAGGAGTTTTTAAAGGAGTTTTTAAGTGAAAACACCCTCATCTTCATAAGAATCCAAGCAGCTTCAGGTTATCCTTTTCATCTAAGGAACAGTGGCAGAACTTGTACATTTAATTCTTTAAATGAGAACAACAATTTTATCTAATTGTAATTTATTCATACATGATGGCAATTCAGAAAAGAAGTGGTCACATGCACCAGCTGCCTAACAMGCACAAGAATACTACAATAAATACRTAAGAGAGATTAACCTTCACAACTGGAATTTCTTTGGTAGGGACAGTTTCAACAGGAACAAAGCATGTGTAACAGTAAAACATCCTGGAACTGCTGCATCGTGGACACTTGGATCTTCCACTCTTTTTTGCCTTTTCAAGTACTTCCTGCGATGCTAGCTGTAATTGTTGAAGTGGGTTATCTTCAAAAACTCTTGATGGAGTCTGTAATTCGGGACTTTCCAAACGTTTAGTATTTTGCTTTAGTCCTTTAGGGTTTTCTTCATTTAAAAGTGTAGATGAATTTGAAGACATGGCTAGCTGAAAGAGACAGTATGTTAGGCCTGATAAATAAAAACATACAATGAACGCAGATAAATTATCCCATAATGTGGTTTTTTAGGATCAGCATCTTTTTTGTTTGCTGTTTGTTGCAGCAAATACACGGCTAGACTCTGCTGCCTGCACTCACCCTCCTGCTGGTTCTCACCAGGACAACAATCAGGACAACAGGTGAAGTTTGGATCTCCATCCTGAAAWTTCTTGTGTGTGGGCAGACCAAACTACCTGAATAAAACCCCTGTTGAGCAGCTTCATGAGATGCAAGGTATCTTTTAGGAACAAGGATTGAGAAAATTAGACAAAAGGACTGAAAATGAGGCTAAAATCATGGCTTTGGGGCTCTGTACACCAGAGGGCAAGTGCCAGCCCAGTCTAGACTCGCGCTGCAAGTTCATATTGGTTTGAAAATGTTAATGGATTAGCCTTTTTTTCCTCAAGGTTTTATTCAGGATGGATGTGGTCTGACCACCTGCAGCTGGCACGAAGTTTCTCCAAGTGACATATCAAGAAATGCCTGTGTTTGCCCACACCTGATCCACATGGAATTAGCTGGGCGCAGAGGTTCYTTTCCTAGGTCACAGGCATTGCAAAACCCTTTGGACTAGTCTAGCCCTGGACCAGCGTTTTCTTTCAGTTRATTTGCTTTTCCACGTCACATCACGCTCCTGAAACGATGCAACAGACAGTCACGTGAGCAAACACAAACACTAATTCCTGGGAGGTGACCCAAAAGGAAGTGTTTAAATATTAATTAAAAAAMCAGCACAAATGGGAGCCTTTCCTAACTGCCCCTGCAGCTGCGCGCGCCCCGAGCAAACCCACCTGCGCGCAGCGCCGGGGCGGCCGCCGCGCCGCCAGCCCCGCGCCCAAATGGCGCCTCGGGGCCTCGGGAACCGCGGCCGGGGCTGCGCACGCCGCAGAGCCAGGCCCAGAGCGCCAGCGTCCGGGCCCAGGGCCCACGCGCCGAGCTCGGCGCCTCGCGCACCCCTCCCGGCCCCGCTGCCGCCGCCGCGGCCCGCTCGGCTCCGCCGCGGCCCTACG